AATCTGGGGTACGGAGACAAAAGGTCAAAGAGTGGGTTATAGGAAGGATTCCCTGAAGGACCGCTGCTTGAACAGGTTAAACAAGGCCAGCGAATAACAGGACAGCTGATCTGTGTGTTGATCACATGGACTGAAACAAAAGCCGACAGCTGCTGCAAAAGAGGTGTAATGAATTACAAAAAGGTTGGGTTTTTCTTCTCACTTTACATGAAAAAAAACAATAACACCATAAAAAAAACAAAGAGGGAATTTCTGATTTCCTTCCTTTTCTTTTTTCTTGAGCTGAATCTCAGAGTGAAAGCCCAAATGACTAACAGATTCCAGACAGCGTTTCAACTGTCAGACCAGAGACCTCAGGTTCTTTGACGGAGCGTGTGTGCGGTCACATCTTAACCCTGCACCCTCCCTCCGCCCCCCTGAGGTCGACCAGGAGAGAGGTTACAGCAGCAGGACTATGACACGGCCCGGAAGATAATTTCAAGATTGGAGTTTTTATGTTTCTCTCTCCACCTGAACCAAACAACAAAGCTTACGTTACTCCCTGACACTGAGCACAGTAAAGAGACCAAGGTCAAACTGTTGTTGAGACTTTCTGCTGCAGTTCCAGGGCTGGTGAGCTGTGCCGCAGCTGCACCTAATCCCCACAGGGGGGGGCTTCAGCTGGGACTGATTTTAAAGTGCCTGCACTGTGCACACAGAGAGGGGGGACCGCTCCATAAAAGCTGGTTCCCTTTTGGGGAACAGGCCTCTTCTCAGTTCTCGTGATTAAAGAGTTTTGCTCAATTGCTCACAATAAGAAAACTGGGTTCTAGTCTCAGAGGAGAACCTGGTGGAAAAACACTGAAAATCCACTAGGAGTTTTGGGGGAATGTATAAGAGAAAACCTGAGGACTTTTTCTCTGCACTAACAGCACGATGTGTCAACGTTACTTCCTTCTAAGATTGAGTTTTTCTGTAACCCATGACTGGGTTGAGCAAACAGTGGGGTCAGGTCTCCTGGGACAGACTTATGTCTCCCCTAATTGTCAGGCTAGATGGTGTGTGTGTGTGTGTGTGTGTGTGTGTGCAGAGGTCAGAGAAATCACTTCTAATAAGCTCTGTGCCACAAAGGAGACACAGCTGAACAGGAAGGTAAAGATGACAAGTAAAGGAGATCATGTGTTTATTGGACGCTCCGGTGTCTCTGCTGGTGAATGATGCGCTTCATATTTAGCCCTAGATTTTAAAACGTGTTAAAATTTTAATTTTAATAAAGCATATATGCTACAAGTTAAAAAAAATAGTTTGGCCCAATGGCTACAAAATTCTGGGCTACAAGTCAAAATATAAGTTTGGCCCAATGGCTACAAAATTCTGCAAAAATGGATTACAGCTACCTGTGTGAGAAGAGAATAGAGGGGAATCATTTTCTATGATTTTTGGACAGTTGTATTTGATGCTGCTCTAGCATTTCTATAAAACTGTTGCATGTTGTGTCAGTAGAACAAGACAAAGAAACTCTGGCCTCCAGATGGTGGGCTGTCATAAAATGTAGGCCCTGAACAATTACTACAGTACTGAACTGTAATACTGCAGTACAATATCACAGGTTTACTGTTCTTGTACTTGGAGAGAGACGAAGAAGAAGAAGAAGAAGAACAGCTGCAGTAAGTGAGGACTCACACCAGAGTGGATGAAAGGTCTGAGGCTACCATTTTGTCATGCTGAATCATAACTAAATGAACCCTGGAGAACTCGCTGTCAGCCTCTTAGCACCATTACAAGCTTCCACCCTGGCTGCTGTATTAACTCTCCAGAGTGTAACCGCTCAGTGCCGATGATGAAGTGCCCAGGTTTGGAATCATTATCCTGACATCCCGGGCATTTACACGGCAGGCTGTTTGCAATCGTGCCAGGTTATAAAGTTCACTGATTGCAGCTGGTAATTAAGCTCATTATTGTAATTCAGGTTTATGGGCCAATAGCAGGGAGGGTGGAGGAGGAGAACACATGCTGCTCACCAAGGTCTCCCTGTGCAGCCTGTATGGAAAAGAGGCCTGCAGTAATAACTACCTTCCCTCAGTTAAAAACACTCCATGTCTCCGTTATTCAGTCTCCATTTCAACCCCAACCAAAAAATAAACATATCCCCTTCATTATTCTCCATCCAAATTATATTCCACCCACAACCCCATTTCACTGGCTGCAGCATCGGGGCCTCTTTATATTGTGTCACTCCAAAGAAAACAGTCCTACTGGATGTTGTGGACGAGCAGCGCAAACCTGATACAAGCCAGATCGCTGCTCCAATTACACACCATGTTTACCGCCGACGTTATAATTCAAAACAGACAAACTTCATCTATATGTGCACATCAGACTGACTTCGGCCTCGGGGTTAAATCTGTCAGACGCCGAAGAAAACGAAGACAAATTCTTTGTTTGCACGTTATCTTTTTTTACACCCGTGTCTTCGTACAAACAGAGGCCGGCGCTGAGGAAGTGCTGAGCTAACAACCGAATGACCCACACAGAACCCACCACCGTACATGTCACTCGAGGACAGTCTGCTGCCGAGCTGACCAAATGTGGTGCCCTATTCTAAAAAAACACACACACAACATAGTCAGATACTAAATAAATAGTGTCTGTGATGACTGGACGGAGGCCCAGACCTGAGCCACAACAGTATTATAGAGCATCGATTAAAAAAAGACAGAAACTACAGTAAATACCCTCCAATAATGACCGTTTTCAACTTACTCATTACCCACAAACCAGACGCTGTACGTAGCTATCAGGGTCTGCTGGTTGCACACTGAGTGATTTATCCAGCTCTTAAATATGACAGGATAAAAAGTAGTGAATAGATTTCATCCTCAATTTAACTGCTGAGGCCCTGTTTATTTTTCAGATTGTTTTGAATGCTTTCCTCCGCACACAGCCTTTGGCCTGAGACGCCGGCTGAAAAAGCAGCTGGAAAAGTTCCGGAAAGAAACTTGGTCAAAGCTGCAGGAGAAAGAAATTAAATGTGAAAAAGGGCAATTAAACTGCGAGCTAATGACTGGAGCCTTATTTTAGAGAAGGTAGTAGTGGAGTAGCATGTGGAGTACATTAAACAGCAGGTGATCGCTCACAACATGGGCTATATATTTTTACAGATACACATATATATAAATATATATATATAGTGTTCATAACTAGTGACATTTACTAGTGACAAACGTTTTTCCTATGCAGGTCAAAAGAATAAATTAAAAAACAATTTAAAAAAAAATCAATGGCAGCATTCAAAGCAAAGCTTGTATCTGTCGTTTGGCCGTTACCTGTTTTCTATCAGTTCAAACATCTGACCACATCTGTGGCCTTGGAAGTGATAGCTCTGTGACACACCATCCCAGCATATGGTAGTAGGATTAAAAATGATGTAAGACAGGACAGGGAGCAGACGGGTCAGCACACACCCTGGAAATTACCATAACCCTGAATGAACAATAACAAGATTTCAAAGTGACTTCTATCAAAATACGGCAAAACCTCGTTCAAGGCTAATGAAATGGGTTTAATAATTGCAAGATGATCTGCTTCAATAGCGTGTGTGAGATTTAAGTGTAGACAGATTCATAATCCAGACGGTCGCTAGGCAGAAAGAAGTCAGGAATGTTCCACAGCTTGTCCCCAGATGAGTGGGACAGCTCAGGAAAACAGTCCTCCCACTGACCCTGCTGGTACATTCTGTTTGAGTTTCACCATCGCCATCATCATCACACCTGCAAAACAGTGGCTGGAGCTTCTAAAGTAAACTTCAGCATTCATCTGCTTCAGGCACCAGGGAAACAGCCTTTCCTGTAAAATCAACACTTTAACGACATGGCCTTCTGCAGACATCACTCCCTGATACTCATGTCATTGCTGGATTTTTCCAGACACATGACTCAGCTGTTTTTCTAATAAGAAACTTTAAAAAATGTGGCATCAGTGACATCAGATAACCCCCATTTCCACGGCTGCTGCGCCACAGCCAAACAATGCGGTGGATTCCAAAGAGGCACTCAGAAGGGCGGCTATCTGTCTCACTCCAAAGACGGAGGAAGTGGAGGAAATGGAGATGAGCTGCAAACATGAGGGCAGAGCGGAGGTTGTTATTGAGGACCCTGCTGTGTCAACTCTTAAATTTCTCTCCCGCTTTCTCACAGACAAAAAGCAGTAGAAACAATGACAGTTTCTCTAGATGACTCCAGGGCTAATTTTATTGCACGGAAACGTACAAAAATCCCAGGAGTTCACCTTTAAACTCTAATGCCGTCACTGATAATTTGATCTGTTGGAACAATCTCTGAGAAACCTGTGCAGAAGTGACAAGTGGATTTTGAGCAGCCGTTCATTTCTGCGGGGTGACATTTGTGAAAATAAATAACTTTAATTCACAGTGTGATGCATGACCTGCTAAAGCCTTCATGTCTATTTCTTTTAGATTTGGCCCGGCCTCCTGTTTATGAGCAGCAGCCCTCGCCCCCGTTCTCTTCATCCTTTCATTCCTCTCCCCTCTGGACTACAGCCACACTCCTGCTCTCCTCCAGTCCTTGGCAGCCGTGTTTGGAAAAACAAATGAAGCAACTGGAAAAGGTCAGGAGGAAGAATGATGGTCCGTGAGCCGAGGGGAGACGTGTCAGTGTGTCTACTGCTGCCTGACCTTTCGCACTTCTTATGGACAGAGGGACACGGAGCTGGCGGGAGACTCCGTGTGTGGCTGTGACCCTGAAAATAGCAGCGATGTGCACCAACAGTGTCGGAGTTGTCAGAGGTCTGACCGTCTGTCCAGACCTACGGCCTCGAGGAAGCTGCGCTATGTGCGGAGGCCTCTCCATCCATACATCATCACACAAGAGCCACACACAAACCACATACCACACACATGTGCTGTATGTTCTTCGTCAGACGTGCACACACACAGTGTAACTCTGTTTCAGACATGACTGGGCCAGTCAGTGACTGTTGGCGGTGCTGGATGCTGAACTCACCCACTGGAAGTGCCGAGAGACAGGGAACTGACTGACTTGCTGAGCTGCCGACTGTCCCAGAGCTTCACCTGCTGGCTACGCATCTAGACAGAAGAAAACACAGGACACCAGAGACTGATGTAAAAATAATAATAAAACAGATCACAGTACAAGGATTAACCTATAATTGACTGTTTTTCATACAGCGGCCAACACTGTACGGTGTAGTCCAAATATATATATAAAAACAAGACAATGATGTCAGGTTTTCGGAGTCAAAATAACATTTATAAATTGTGTTTGTATCTTGAGCCAAACGTGGAATCATTTTATGCAGGTTCCTTAGAAAACTGACATTTTTAAATGCTGCCAAACTATCAAACTTTTAAAGAAAACAGTGACTGAATTTGACTGTTTGATTTTTACAGTGATGATGTCACGGCTCACACGTCCATGGGTCTCCATGTTCCTCACCATATTAAAGCCTGTGGTCAGGAGAAGGTCGTCTTTGGTCCAGAGAACGCGTGAGTCCTTGTTGCTTTCTAAACATGTGGCGCTCTGTGAGGGACAAAAACACAGAGAAACATCAACTCACCACAAACACAGAGAGTAAATCGATATCTGTCAGATCATCTGACCCAGTTCCCAATGTCTCATGGATGAACCCTGGCTTTAAACATAACCTTGACGTCTACTTCAAGATAAAGACGGGCAACGATGAGTGAATGATTTGAAGGTGGAGTAAAGAGACAGAGAGGACAGACAGGACTATTCTGGGGTGCCTCTGACAGACGTCTGTACTGGAACAGAACAGGACTTGTTTTTGTTGATGTAGCAGACACGACGGCTTCTGCCCCGGGTGCAGCTTAGATTACCACGCAGCCCCGGTGCATCTGCGTTTGTGCTAATGCCACTGAGGCTGCGTGCATTACTGCGTTTCCATGGGGAGCATGTGTCAAAACAGCAGTGCCAGAGTGGGGTTTGAAAAAGTGGCCTTCACACACACAAATGAGACGTTGTGTTTGTGCCATGAATAACCGGAGGTGTTGACACACGAGAATGTCTGGAAAGAAAATGTGTAAAAGAAAGAAATTAAGGAAGAAAGTAAGTTAATGAAGCATGAGTCTGAATGTACTGCACTCAACACTGGGCAGGCTGCAGATGATAAATGAACCCACTCGTACGTGTTGGGAAAAGTTGTGATAAAGATGACCGAGGACGGCTGTTGAATTGTCAATCAGCGGCTGAAAAGAGCCATTAATCTGTAAGTGTTAAAACTCAGTGAATGATGTCATTTGTAGCTGATCAGTCAGGAACCATGTTCTTGTAACATCTCACAGCTTCTGTCAGCAACAGATGTCTCTATCTCTATACTGGAGTTACACTGAGTTTACCCAGAATACACCACTGTCAGCAATAAAGGTTTCATGAAACAGTACACGCTGTTCCCTAATCCAAGTGTCTCACATGATTTTTATTGTCATTTTTATGGTCACACTAATCCAAGAGCAGTGCTACTGTATGGCTGTGCACAGCAACCACACCGCACTTGTCATCGTTGACACTACGCTCAAATTCAAAGCATGTACAGGACATATAAATACTAGAAAACACTGAGCATTTCGTTGACCTTTTTCTGGGTCTTTCCCACAGACCTTTCATAGGTTAGCTGATAAGAGTGATGAATATTAGTTTATTAGTTTCATTGATTTCAACGTAGTGGAATTTAAAGAGTTGACTCCCTTCCCTGCGAAGAATGCGTCACTGCAGCTTCTTCCTAATAGATAAAGTTCTACGGCGTGTGAAAATGAGACAGAGTTCAGGAGAGGTCGTTTCTACGTCAAGGACATGTGGACGCTGAAAAGTCATGTCCTTCGCATCGATGAAACAAAGTTTTACTTGTTATAAGTACACAGTCTGTTACATTTATAGAGTTTTGATAACATGACTGGCTGTGTACAAACTGAATGAATACTGTACTGTACTCATGTATCATTTTTCTTAAAGAAATACAACATTTTTGTGCTGAAAACAATTCACCTTTTTTTGTCACACCAGTGGCTTCAAATAAATTTACAGTCTCAGCTATAAGGGAACTGGACTGGGACTGAGAGGAGAAAGAAACATCAGCTGACATTTAAAATACGGTAAAATCAGGTATGCACTTCTGCGCCTCCCTCAGTGATGATATATCTTCGTCCACACCCATCTGTATGTTGTACAGATGTTTTCTGGCTCCTGGTGAGCTCCCAAACGTCTCCATCCACATAGGAAGGATTGACCTAGCTCCTAAAAAGTTATGTTACCAGAGCACGATCTTAGTTGACAATAAGTCCCAGGTTGGATAAACACCTATGTCACGACTGAGGATAAATTTTCTGCTTGCAGCTAGTCAGGACGCGCCACGCAGGTAACTGAGATCATACTTTCCTTGATATGTCCACACAAGTGAGTCTGCTTAAAACAGTCTGCAAGTATAACAGAGATTTAGAGTAAACTGAAATTCCAAAAACAGCGATAGAGCAGGTTAAAAAAAAGAAACTAAATCAAGCGTGTTATGATCAGCCATGGACGTAATTCACTGCCACTGAGCTGTACAACGTCAGCTTCACCGTCTGATTCCCTTCCAAGGAGAAGACAGTACTGGCATTTTGACCAAACAAGGACCAAGCCGAGCACAGACTATTTTAATCAGCGTCATTTCTGTTTAGGAATGTTGTTTTTTTTTAGGATCATCACCTGACATTTGTAATTCAGGGTTACAGCATAATTCACCTACGGGACAAAATCTTCAACTGGAGACCATAGAGAACCATCATTTGGACCAGCGTTGAAGCATTATTTGTTACTCATATACAAACATTTAGATAATAAGGAACACAGTCAACATGGTGTAAAAAGTCAGAGGGGTAACGTTCTGTGATGTTCGTCCATTAGCAGGATAACTGGCATCAGGTGGACCAAGTCTTTTTCTTTCAACACTGTATCCTGCAATAATCATATCCATGAAAAATATCTGCTATTATGTTGTAAACATAAAAACACACAAAAAGTAAGCGGAAAAAAAACAAGACCTACAAAGAAATCCAACTTGTGGAATAACAGGTGAATTCAAAAAAATATCTATATCTAAACTGTTGGATAATAACCCATATTGTACAGAGTGTTTTAAAAAATATATTTTTATGAGAAATGTCAGTCTGGGGGAAAACGGCTCCATAAAAAGCCACATTTATTCTGGTCTTTACACCTGGTATAGATAAAAAGACAAATTTGTCCTTCAGGAAGGTCAATAAAAATAACAGTAAAACTACAGTATACTGCCTTTCTGTGAACCTTGCCTGGAGCAGCAGACCTACTTTTGCCATTACAGCATCCCTCAGTCCTTCACTCTGCTGCTTAGGCCAACTCCAGGCATGGAGGCGAGCAAACTGGCCCGACATTCCTCCCAACAGACAAATGCTCTCGCAAACTCCATATATTGCACCGCCGTGATGTCATGCTCCATCCGGATCTGAAGGCACGTGCAGCAACGGAGCCGTTTAACAAAGATGTCATCAGGCCTTGGCAGCTCCAGCAGCAGAGGTGGAGCTGAAGTTTAAGGCGTTTGTGTTCGGTTTTCACTCACTTTTTCCCAATAAAGAGTAAGTCAGTTTAAAGGAGCGTAACACAGGCGTCACAGAGCAATGCAAGAGCGGGGCAGCCAAAGGACAACACATCTGGACCTTTGTATTTATCTGATGTCAAAAAGTATCTCTCCCCTGCACTCATAAATTTAACCAAATTCCATTCACCTTAACCCCCCTCCTCTCCTTTCCTCTTCTCTCACAGCTGAACCTTAACGCCATGCTACAAATCGATCGTGACATACAAGAAAACAGAGAGAGAAGAAAAGCAGAGAAACACGGAAGAATAAAACAATAACAGAGGTTATTCAACCTTATGGTATTCAAACAGAAGGAAAAAGAGACCAGAGAAAGAGTTTATGACTTGACAGAATCCACACAGGAGGTGTTAAAAAAAAAATCCTTTAACTCTGCTCGACTGGCTCACACACATAATAAAGTACAGGAAATGACAAAACATCTGGAGATGGAGTGTTAGCTGAGATGTCTGCAACAAAATGTGGAAAACATATTTTTCACAAAAAAAAAAGTGGTGTAGTACGCACATATTTCATTAAATCAATAAACAATAAATTCACTCCAAAAAATCTTTTAAAAGCCACAGAACACCTATGCTCTCCTACAGCTGTGGCCATCAAACAGGCGGTGCGGGGGCTGCAAACAGGCATGACCTGACCACACTGGGTCACCCTAACCCCAGACGTTTCAAGGTCTTTGTTGAACTTCAAGATTTGAATTTGAGCAGCATATACCTACAGTAACCCAATAAGTCAATAAAAAAACAATGAATGGAAATATTAAGTAGTGGAAATAGATCCAGTAGGTGGCAGTGTTGCAACCAAAAAGAAGTTGCAGTTCGTTAAAACTCACAGATGAAGACGCAGGTTGGCAGGATAAGCTCTGAAGCTGAAAATCTCAGAATCAAACTTTTCTTTGGTTTGTGAATATTACTTTAAAATACTTTAAAGTGCGTATACAGGTGTAAAGGTTTGAAGAAGTTTTTAAGATGGGGAGTTGGAGGTGTACAGCCCCACAGAAACAGCTCCAGTAAAAACTTTAAAAACTTTAATTAAACCAGAATAGAATTACAATTTGCTGCAAAAACTCTGCTGACACAGTAAGAGTGTTCGTCAGCAGTCTGGTCAATTATGGTTTTATACAGTAGGACTATTAAATATCCTCTCCCAACACAAATAAAAAGACACTCTGTCCTCCAATGAGCTATTTTTCTTGTGAACTTCCACAGACAGAGCACACATCTGTGTCACAAGCAGAGAATGTTGATTCACCCACAGGATGACTATCAGGTGTCTGCGTGCACATGTGGGAACCATCACAATTTCTCCATTTCCCCCCTCGACCACTCTTTTTCTGCCTGTCTTTCCACTGCTCTGTGTATCAGCTCAAAACTGGTTTATGTTTTTAACAATCAACGCAGCAGTGATGAAATTAATGCGACGTGCTGTGAGTTGGAGAGTTTGTTTTTTTTTCTGTTAAAACAGTCTTTTATAATTAAGAAGTTGTGGTTAATTTGAACTCTCAAAACTAGCTTCTTTTGGAATCCATTAGAATTTTTTTCCCTCTTATTCTTTCTCCAAAGCTACCGCATTTTGGGTAGCAGCTACAGAAACCCGCCGACCTTTGGCCAAAATTCAGGTCTGCTGGTTAGATTTCCAGTCTATTTGAACAAAGTTTGATTGTCCCTGTGTTTGGACGGCTTTTCTCTGGATTTATCACACAGTCCATAGATTTTCTTGATAAAAAAGAGTCTATAGAACTAACTAACTAGATGTAATTAAACCAATGAAATTAACCAAAACTTCTCAACAACAAGAAAAGGAAAAATTCAATAAGTGTTCCAGTCACAGTGCAAATCACTGACTTTCTAGCTGCAAAGTATAAAACACATCACTGGGTCAGTCCTACCAGACT